GCGTCGCTGTCTTGTTCATACCCACGCTCCGGGGGCGGGCGGTGTCCAGACCAAGCGCAGCTTCCCTTCGACTCCCTGCCACAGCTGGCTCCACAGCACTCCATTGCGGCGGGGGGGAGTGGGGGGCACGCGGCACATGACAACCCTGCCTGGGATTGTCAGACTTGGGTCCCCTTGGCCCAGTTTTTAAGGTGCAAGGTTCCCCCCCCCCGCCATTTCAGCTCCCCCAGCCAGGCTCCTCCCCCCAGCACGGCCGGCTCACCTGCTCCCATGAGGCCTTCCTTGCCATAGCGGTCGTAGACGTCACGCTTCTCCTCTGCGGGGAGAGGAGGGGAGAGTTAGGCAGCCCCCGCCACTCCAGCAGGGCTAGGCTGGGGAGGGGGAGAATGGGTCCTGCAGCTGGGGGGGGGGGGGGCATCGCCAGCTCTCGTGCCATAGGGGGGAGCACTAAAGCCCCACCTCTCGGAGTCATGGGACAGGGCAGGACTGTCAGCTGCTGTTTTCTCCCTTTCCTGGCTGCAGAGCAAAGCCCCGGACGGCGCCCCCCAGGGCTCAGACACAGGAGCGCAGACGAGAACCCAACACTTGCTTTGAACAGTCTGGGGATTTTCGACCCAGTGTCGTGGCTCTGGAACCTATGGGGCTGGTGCGGGGGGTGGGGGTGGGGTGCCCCACTCCAGGCTCACAGGGTCTCTGAGCAGCGTCGGATCAGAGCGGCTCCAGGCGACGTGAAGGACCTTCGTGCTCTAACCCAGCCCCCCATGATCCATGGGAAGCCTGGAGCGCAGCAGCGAGGGCCAAGCTCCGACAGCGCGCCTGGTCTGTGGGGCATGAATGAATCCAGCGAGGTGCACACAATGCGCAGGGGCTCCGGCAGCTCAGCGTTCCCTAGTGCAGGGACCGGGGGGGAGGGGGTGTGACGTTATGAGTGTAATATAATATTTCGTTGGAAGGTGACAGGGCCAGAAAGAGTTAATTAACTCAGACTGACCTGACCTATGGCCGAACCTAGACTGGTTAGGAAGATCTGTAAATGAACAGAGCTTGGAAATGCAGCCGGCATTGTTAGAGGTAGAAGGGGAGCTGTGTGCTCAGGGCTTGTGATGTAAGCAAACAAGTCTTGTCTATTGCTGTAACTTTAATTCAAAGATCAAAAAAGGAATATCAGTATTTAGGAAGACACTTGAGGGAAATAGTATTATTGTCTCTATGTCTCTTTGAAGGTTGTGGTAACCTGTATCTGAACTGTTTAATGGCTAAATGACCCTGTGCTAATTGCCAGGATGTTTGAGAGAAGGAGAATTAAGCCTATTGTTTTCTCAGGCCGAAAGGCTGCTGGAAATGTATAAGAACCCTGGGACATGATCCTGCTGCATCTCAGATCTGCTTTGGGTTTCAAGAGGGGGAAATCTTAAGCCACAAGGTTTGAGATCCTCAGTCACTGACTGGAGCCACCCCGAATATGGACATTGGACTATAACCTCTGGACTATTTCTAAAAGGACTTTTGGCAACTAGAAGCTCATCTCTGCTATGTATCTGACCCTCAAGAATTGAATTCAAGTCTGTCTGTATATTGATCTTTTAACCAACTCTCTCTCTCTTTTCTTTAATACATTTTAGTTTAGTTAATAAGAATTGGCTAGAGCGTGTATTTTGGGTAAGAGCTAAGTTATAATTGGACCTGGGTGTGTGGCTGATCCTTTGGGGTTGGAAGAACCTTTTATTTTATATGATGAGATCAGATTCTCAGGAATCATCATCATATCTGACAGGTGTGTCTGGACGGAGGCCTGAGGCTGGGTACTTTAAGGGAACTGCGTTGTTTGGACGTCTGAGTAACCAGTGAGGTAATACAGGAGCTGTTTTGGGCTGGTTGGTAAATCTAAGTATTGGAATAACCACCAGCGGTTGGGGTTTGTCTGCCCAGTTCTGTTTGCAGTTCACCCTGATTGAGTGACCTCAGCTGGCTCCCACGGGCAGCACCGACACAAGGGGGCAGAGTGCGCCTGTGCGGGGATCCTGGGCGGAGGGAGGAGCAGGAAGAGCTGCAGTCTCCGTGCACCCCGGCCCTGCACCGGGGCAGAATGCAGCCAGGCTGGAGGCTGCTTGCACAGGGCCGTCTCAGGGCCTGCTCCGCTAAGGGGCAGGGAAACCGTCCGGCCTACGGCCCAGGGGCACTCGCACGGCTGGGAGCGACGGGGACACCGTCCATACAGAGCACAGCAGCTCCCCTCAACACCAACCTGGGGAACT